TTAGCTTGGCCACCACAATTATTTAGCAGGAAGGAGTCTAATGAGAACCAGTCATACCTTGTGTATCCAAGATCTAAAAACATACCCTGCCATTTCTTCCCTAGTACACTGTGGCATGGTTTTTTCTGCTCTGAACTTCAGGTTGTTTGCACACAATCCTTCTAAATGGTCAAAGATTAACTGCGCATTTCTGACAGAAAAGGGAAAAGGTAAAATTGAGAAGAAATGTTATATAACTCTTCAAAAAATATGTAAGTGCTGGAAAGCTGTTGAGAATCAATGAAAACCATGCCTTTTATATCTAAGCAGTATTCACCTTGCCAAGAGAGGAGACACTATTGGGGTTTGGTGATAAGGCAAACAATTACTAATTTCCACTACGAGTTGGAGATCATGAGATAGGCAAGCATTTTTCCAATCAAATGTTTCTCATTTTCAACATACCTACTTTTAGAACCCCAGTTGTTAGCTGAAAAAGTTTTGTTTTGATTAATGTCATCATTTTCGTTAATTTAAGAGAGTCAGAAATGTCAATTCATTGTCACACAGGAAGTTTTGTTTCTGGATCAAAGTGACATTTCATTTAGGAGTCTGAATAAAGATATAGTTTAACAGCCATCGGAACTCAACAGGAGGGAGAAACTCTGAAATATGGACAAGTATTTCCAACTACTGAATTGTACACCAGCCACCACTTTGGGCCCGAAAAATCCCTCTGGGTTTTGGCAGTTTGGAACAACTTTTTAAAAACAATTCAGAACAAGCATATGAAGATGAGATAAACCACTTCCTGTCTTCTCCTTAAAAATACATATATAAAAAAAAGTCACATAAGATAAAGAAGAGCGGCCCATGCAGAAGCTGCCTTTCAACTGTGTAATTTCCTCGCTTGCCATACACAGTGGGTAGATGTTGCAGCATTGCCTGTTTTCAGATTTTTAGTGAAGTATCTCAGGATATTTTTATTGATTTTCATTAGTTGTCACTATCACTACAGCGTCATTGGGCAACACCCTCAGCTTTTATTAGCAGTTAAAACATTTTTCCCTGTCGCTTACACAGTTGTGAAGAAGAGTTGGAAAACTCAGACACCGAGAAGCTACTAAAGCCCACGACAAATAAAAACAGAGAGAATTAAGTATTGTGAATTACAACCACCACATGATTTTGGGGAGCTTGCCTCAGGATTTGAGGCTGCCTAGAGCAGACTATGCCAGGCTTGCAATTTTGTCAATTATGTTTCATTTCATACATCAGGACCGTCACAGAACAAACCACAATTACAGATGTCCCTGGGGACATAGAGCTCAGGCAGCCTCATGCTACATGCTAAAAGCTTTCTTGGCTAACGCTCATCAGAAAATGCTTTTCTACACAGAGCCCTGCATCACCTGCAACTAAACCAGAACGTAGGAGAGATGGGGTCTATTAACTCTGCGCGCACTCACACACCGCACGGAAGATGCTGTACAAGAATGGCCCCAGATCCTGCTTTCAAGGAATGCTGCCCTTCACACAAGCCAGCTTACCATAGCAGTAAATGTAAAATAAATAAATCATGAAGTCCACACATGAGATAACAGAACTACACTGAGAATACAAACAAGTATCAGAAAACTAGAAAAAAAATGTACTTACCCACCTCATGATGTTTTCTTCACCCTAGAAAATCCCTCTGACTGAGGCAAGTCCCAGTTACACATCCGTCCCTGGTTCTTAGATTGCACCTAGACTAAGAGAGCTAGACACAAAGACTCAACTGTGCTTTTTAGGCCACCCCGAACCTTTCCTAGGGCTTTGCTTGGCTTTGAATCCTTTCTTCCCACCTGGCCTTAACTGCTGTCACCTGCCAGTAATTTCCTGCCTTGCTCTCGCTTGTCCTGCCATCACTGGATGCTGCCCTGACAGGGAGAAAACCTTGCCAGTGCAAAAACATTGAAGAGTATTTGAAAGGTGCCTAACTGGTCTCCAAACAAATTGTCAGCCCATGAGAAAGGAGGAATATTAGTTTCTACCATCTGCTTCATTAGAGACAGGCTGGGGCGGTGGCCAAGCACTATATGGTAATGATGGACTTACGGGGGGGACTGCTCGATAGCCTGGAAATACCATGCCCATCACTGGAGACGCACAATGACATTACCAACAGACGTGTTGGTCTAAGATATTACCAGTTTACGCTGTTTGTGGTCACCTCTGTACCTGAACCGTGCTAATAACACGAGTGAGTCAAGCCCGTTTCAGTGCAACGTCGGGCAAGCTGGCCTAACTGGAAGAGGGCATGAGCAGGGGACATTTTGTGTACGTAAGGTGGTTTACAGCTCCAGTTACTTGTTACTGTTCTTCAGCTAATGGGCTCAGCGGGAGCTTTGTTGCTTCAGCACAAAGTCAGCTGTCACTGCTGAAACCAGACGAGCCCCTGACACAGACTAGGAGCATTGGCAGAGCGCAGGAACGTGGCTCAGCGGCAGGGGAGCAGCAGATTTGAGCTGGGGTGTGGTAACAGGCAGATGGAAAATGGTATTTCCCTAAGCCATCTCGTGAGACCGCCAGCAGCACATCTGCCTGTGCCCCTACGTGCTCCTTCTTTCTTCCTCCCCTCCCTGCAAAAAGTTTTGGGCTGAATTTCCTGTTCCATTGAACCTTCAGTAGATGTTCACACCCACGGAGAGAAGGCGTAAGGTACCGCTTTTCCAGGGTGTTTGCTCGCTGCATCGCACTGGCAGCGAAATACGAAAAACTCCGTGAAGTGTGGGGTGTTAGACTTTGGCTCCTACCTGGCGCTTCTCCTTTCTTTGTGGTGTTTCTGCATCCGAACTTCATCCCTCATCTAGGCTGAAGGATATGCAACTCAATTCTTGTATATGAGAAAACAAAGCAGATGGTCTCAGTCTGTGGGACAGGTGTCCACATCAGAAAACTGTCACCGTGCTTGACACCTTCCCAGCCATACTGGCCAAGATCCTCCAGAAAAGAAAAAAACCATACCTTGCTATTTTGCATACATTTACATTCATTTGCACGCGTCCAGGCATCTCCTGAGCAGAAGCACATGCCTTCCCATTTTTGAAGTTGCACTCTAGCAAAACCTCAGAAATACCCCTGTGAAGGTAACTCCTTAAGTGCTGACTGCCTGGTGCCTTTGGTATGCAAATCGCTAATAAAAACGGGCCCTTCCATGCCGTAGTCCCGTTCTGTTCCTGTCTCTTGCCACAGGGATGAGTCTTGACAAGGAGAAGCAGAGGAAGCAGCTCATGACAGCGCTGCCCCTCCCCAGCAAGTCTGCAAAGGCAATTGAAAACCCTTTTCTGCTAGATTTCCTATGAAAAGACTGGTGACCTTGTCGGAATCCAAAACCCCATATTCCCTTCTTTTTTTTCTTTTTTCTTTTTTTTCTTGGCGAGGGGTTTTCTCCTCCAACCTCAACCAACCACAAAAGGATCTACATCTTTATTTTTCCTAAGTGAGGCAGAAGTATTTCATCGGAATTGTGGCGGCTGGAATGCCTGGAGAATCTGGATGTGGGTAATCTGAATTAGGGGAGAAGTCAATGAAACACAGGAGGATATTGAAGTGCCTTAGTGCAAGGGCTGTTTCCCAACGGGCACGCACATCGCTGTCTGAGTTCATAGGAAATCATCCCACATGGAGCCTTACGTCCGGTATCGGGGGGAAAAAAATGCAAGAGAAAAACCAAAACAAAACAAACCACAGCAGATTGCTCAATGCTGCCTGTAGGCCAGTTAGAAGGGAAAAAAAAACCCGAGAGATCCCTTAATGTAGTCTGCTTGGCCAAAGCCCAGCCCTGCCCACAGGGACAGCCTCCGCAGGGGCTGGAGGAGCAGCCCCTCTCCCCATCCTGCGTGGGGAAGGTCCAGGCGTGGGCTGGGGCGCGGTACCTGCTCCCACCTCTCCATAAAACACTCAGCCAGCAATTACAGCACTGCCGGTACGGAGACTCTGACCCCAACAGGAAATGCCCCGTGTATTTTCCAGGGCTGACTAGGGCTCCTTGGAGGCAGGAGGGGAGGGAAAAATGAGCGTTTCCATGGGAGCTTTTTTGATCGCTTTGTTTTAGGATCACTGCATGAGTATCACTTCTTATCTTCTGTGCCCCAGCCGCGACGGCACGATAATGTTGCGCCAGGGAAGAGGGGCCGTCTGAAGGTGAACGGCAGCAAGTGAAGAAGCAGGTAGGCGAGACGCCCTGCTCAGGGCTTAGGGTTTGTCACCCGAGGCTTTTGCCCCGTGTCTCCATCCCTGACAGAGCTTCAAAGTGACTTGGGTTTGGCCGATCTGCCGTGCACGGCTGTGATGGATCCCAGCTGCGTGGGGTGGTGTGAAGGCAGCAGAGCCTTTTCCCACAAAAAAATGTTAACGCTCGCGGTGATTTTCAACCCCAAGGACATTTGCCTACGAATCCTCTCAGCTTCCTTGCCACCTCCATAGCCTATCAACAAATCAACTCGGTTTTTCTTTCACAGACCGTTCCACTTCCCACTTCTTCCTCTGGCACAAGGGAAAAAACAGTTGCAGAGGCTTCCCAAGCTGAGCTGGAGACATGGCTGCACCCATAGCTACATGCAAGGAAAATGTTGCTTGTTTTCACTTGCTACCCAAAGCATGACAGCCCGTTACACAAAATCAGCAGCAAAGCTCCCCCCACTTTTGCAAAAAAAACCAAAAAAACTTATGTAACTCCACAACTAATCTTTGCTAATCTTGAGGAAGGTATTTAAATCCGGGAATAAGTCTATTCTTCTCCCC